CCTGTTTAATACAATATCAATAATATATTATTATTAAAATTATTGAAATTTTTTTAGACGCTTGCTGCAAATTTCAAGACATCTTCAGTTTTAGATATGATAGAAAATAATTATAAAACGTTTTGCTCCGCAAATGAAATGGTAATTATTGAATCATTTCTGTAAAGTCTTTATATGGAAAATATTTATCATATTTTATCTAAAAATAAATAAAAAATAGATGATTGAAGCAAATTTTGATATAAAGGCAAAAGTCATTAATATTCTTAAATCTGTTGGTTTTGATGATTTTCTAAAGTATGTTTTTTGTTTTCTGCATTGTTTCATGTTTCTTTTTGTTATTTATAACATTAAATACAAGGTTTTTCTTTTTTTATTTTTATTATGTTTATTCTATTTATATCTTTCTCCATTTTTAGGTTACTGTACGCATTTAACAAGGAAAATATACATTTTTGTTAAGTTGTTATTATCCGGCATTGTCCATTATTACATACTTTCATAAAAGGTGATTTGCTTTGTTTATCATTTTCTACGTACGTATTCGATACTCTGACACTTTGTTTGATACTTTATTATTTGATACTTTCCTGTATTTTATATACTACTTTATTATATGGTATTTCATTATATGGTATTTTATTATATGGTATTTTATTATATGGTATTAATTAATAATATTACAATATTATATGGTATATATTGAATATTAAGTTATTAAGTGATATTAAATGATATTAAATCATATTAAATGATGGTATGAAAAAGATTAATATATATTACAAGAGAAATCCATTTTTTTTTTAATCAAATTGTATGCATATTTATACATGCGATAGTTAAGGTAATTCGTTGTACGTACGTACGTATGTACGTATGATATCGAATCATTATTTTGCCACCTAGATCGTATAGATCATCATGGTTCTTAATAACCAAATACAATGCAAGCAATGGTTTTCTAACTGAAAGAATGCAAAAAAAAAAATTACAACGTATCGGTGTGCGTATCAATGTGCATCGGTGTCTATATTCCATTATTTTTTTTTCCTATAAGGAGAATAATTAACGGGGTCAGGATAGATGTGTAACATTACACTACTTTTACACTGAATAATTTTCATTTATTAGGAACTGCAAGGACTTGTGTTTTAGAATCCATATTACCGTAACACATATAGTCACGTGCATAAGAACAATAAAAAAAAGTTCCTATCTGTTCTCAAAACCCCAGCATCCTAAAAACAAATTAAACGAAATTTTAAAAATAGGTTAGAAGATTAACAAATGTCACACATTTAAAAATTTATATTTACATACCACATTAGCGGGGCTAGAACAATTTGGGTCACCCATAAGACTAACAATGCTGATCAAAATACCTAAAAATAACAATGTGATTAATAAATTAAAATAAAAACCGATTAACTTAAAAAGGTAATCAATAGCGAATCAAATAAATACTAACTTTCAACACTTTGAGTTGGATTCCAACGTTCCTAATATTAAAAAACAAAAAAAAAAAATTATTATATCAAAAATCTCTCTAAAATTGAATTGTGATTTCTAATTTACACCATCGCCAAGGAGTAAACTTTTTAATACCTTTTTATTTGTCGTATAAAGTATAGACCGTTCACAATGTCTAGTGCTGCAAACATCTTGACGAAACAGTTTAAAGGTGCTTCTATTCTCTCCTTTTTTACCTATACATGACGAAAGTCGCTTTTGTAAGTTTAATAAAGATTTCGAGATTATATTTTTTTTTAAAAAAAAATACCTTGTTTGATTCTTGAACGTGCAGAGCTAACAAGTAATCCAGTACCTGGTTTCACGGTTGCCCTGCCTGACGACGGCAACGTGTTTGAATGGTAAGTCCGTTGATTTAAATATGTTTCTTACCTAATACTTTCTTACTAAGGATGTTATCTTACCTGACCGTACAGGGATGTAGGCATCATAGGTGCTCCGGGTACGATTTACGAAGGCGGTTATTTCAAGGTACCTGGTTTGCCTCACGTGATGGTTTAAACTTTTCCAAATTTAACAATTGTTATTTATTTTGAATAATAAAAGGCTAATCTCAAGTTTCCAAATGACTATCCGTATAATCCTCCAACCTTTAAATTTAACAATGAATTCTTTCATCCTAATGGTAAGGAAAAAAAAAAAAAAAATTTTTTTCTCTTTTATTGTATTATTCATTATTGTTTTGTTTCGTTTTCAATGATCATCGGATAATCTTTTTGCGTAACGCGTGATTAAAATGCATTTTATAGTCTACCAAGATGACCGTCTTTGTATTTCTATTCTTCATCCACCTGGTGACGATCCCACCAGCGGTGAGACAGCTGCGGTTTGTTTATAATGTGATTTTTTGATTTTGATCTTATTTTAATAATTAGATTTTCAGAAACTTTAAGCTTGAAAGTTTAAAGTTGGTTTTCTAATAGCATTTATAAGGATTATGTTCGGTATACAGATTATATTTATTTATATAATAAGTCATTTATGCTATCCTAATAGTGTTCGGATTCGGAATAGCAAATTTATTATGTTAATTCGATATATCCAGAGAAAATATATATATAATATTTGTTCTGAAATTCTTAGTTCAGATTATCAAGAGTTCGGTATATAGAGGGCCGAATTAGGGAGAGGCGACTGTATACTTGATTGAGGATTGGCTCTTAAAATTATTCTATAGTTCTGGACGAATTATGCTATTCTTGGGCCAGTATTAGTTTCACATTAAACGATTGGAAACTTCATAAACTATATCATAATACTTCTATCTTTTTTTTAAAAAAGAAAATATCCTAAACCAAATTATTTCTACAAATATCAAAAATTCAGATAATTGCGAATTAAGATTAAATCGCCCATGGGTCCATATTAAATAAGAAAGAAAATCACACATAAGGAATATCTACAGAACCAATTTTCTCACTCGGTATAATTTCCTGGGTGATCTCTAAGCTTTGAAGTACAGCTGCTATCTCTTGCGTATTTATGGGCTTTGAGGTATACTTATGATCTGGATGCATTTGCGGGACGGTTGATAATTCGATAATTTTATCGTTATCACGATCATCCTTATTTATTAAATTTGAAGTTTTCATATTTTTAATCCATTCATCAATTATATTTAAAATATTACTTGCGGCAGGTCGTTTTTGTGGTTCAAGATCCATGCACATCATGGCTAATTCAGCGTAGAATTTTGGTGTGCCAGGCGCACATTCTGGATGTAATCCCTTACAAATTTTTACAGCAAGTGCAACATC